GGGGGGGGGGGAGGTTCTGGTAAGGCAGGTGAGGACCTGGAGGTTACTGACTGTCTTTGGCTACTCCCTGCCTCTGAGCCTCAGGTCACAGTCCTGTGTCTTGTTGCCAGGCCTGGACAGTGAGTCTGCCTCTAGCAGCATCCGCTTCAGCAAGGCCTGCCTGAAGAACGTCTTCTCTGTCCTGCTCATCTTCATCTACCTGCTGCTCATGGCTGTGGCTGTCTTCCTGGTCTACCAGACCATCACAGACTTCCGTGAAAAGCTCAAGCACCCTGTCATGTCCGTGTCTTACAAGGAGGTGGATCGCTATGATGCTCCAGGTAGAGCCTGCTGGGCCAGGTGTCAGGCCCAGCTCTGGGGCATCAGCTGGCATATCCTCCCAGAGCTGCCAGCACAGTGCTAGATGCTATAGGTGAGGTGGGGTCCAGGTATAGGCTCATACCTATACTTGTGGCCACCATCAGGCCTCGAAAGGTGTGGGGAGTTTAGAGGATTCTGGCAGCATTGGGGTGGGTAGGAGGGCTAGGAAGAAAGATGCACTGGAACTAGGCTTTGAAAATCATGAGGTGGGCAGTATTTGTGCTGAGAGGGGCAGGAGCAGTAAGCAGCAAAGCAAGAACAGTGATGGGGGTAGGGAGACACTTCTGGAGAGAAAGAAGCCTGGATGCAGCCAGAGACCAGGTGAGGAAGTGTGAATCAAGCATAGTGTGGGATGGTGGTAGCACAGCCATTCAAAGGAAGTAGCAGCTCTCCAGGCCACCTTGTGTCCCTTCCTGCCCCATTTGTATGTCCAACCCCTGAGGGGCAAGTCATCGCTGACAGAGTGGACAGTACACCAGAATTAGGGGCTGGCACCCATGCTCTGGAAGGATAGGGTGAATGGAGAGCCCCTGATCTGTGGCTCAAGCTCTGCCCATGGCCCAGGCTCTACCCATGTGGTGACTGCCACCTTCTCTGTCATGTGATGACTGTCACCTTCTCTGTTCAAAGGCTTCCTCTAGTTACCCTCAGGATGGCCTGCTCATAGGTTAGAGTTAGAGTTGGGCCTCCCTCTGCCCAAGGCTCTCTGACAGTCTCCAGCATCACTAAGTGTGATGGTCCCAGCTCATCTGCTGGCTTTCTCTCATTTGTCCTCTCTGTACATCTGCTCTGTCTCTGTCTGTGGGTGTCTCATACCCTGGTGGTCTGATGCTAGTGCTGCTTGCAGCACTTTGGCCTATGAGGTCAGAATGTTTCCTCATCCCAGGTGACTAGGCTGGCAGAGGCAAGGACTCAGGATATGACCCATATACTTGGAGTCCAAGCAGAATAGGTACCGGAGACAGAATGAGTTCTAGGTAATTCCATACCTCAAAGACAACCCCACTCCCAACCCCCCGCCAGCCGTTCTTCCAGTGGGTGATGAGCCTGGGGAGCATCCTTGGGCTCATTGCTCTAGGAGGTGTCAGAGTCCTTCTCTGTGGGCACAGGAGGCTATGTTCCAGCCAGATTGGGGCTTGCTGAGGGGCCACTGATGTCAATGAAACTGAAACTGCCTTCCAAGTCGTTTTCCCTCCCTTCTTGGCAATCAGTAAAGGTGTCTGGAATATAGATTATCAGAAGGTGTGTGGTAGTTTCAGGTGTGGCAAGGACTGTGACTTCTGACATTTGCTTTTCTGTTTGTGTCCCAGGTATTGCCCTGTATCCTGGTCAGGCCCAGCTGATCAGCTGTAAGCACCATTACGAAGTCATTCCCCCTCTGACTAGCCCTGGCCAGCCCGGTGACATAAACTGCACCACTCAGAGGATCAACTACACACACCCCTTCTCCAATCAGACCACGGTAATGCTCATCGTCTTCAGCTTGCCCTGGGCCCGTGTGCCCTGCTGGCTCTGTAACTCAAGTGCCCCTATTCTCTTCCTCATACTGTTGCCATGAATACTCAGTCCCTGGCCAGATGTCCACATGACTGCCTCACCTGCATCCAGTAAGGTCAGTGAGGGCTTTATCCTCAGCTGACTGATGTCAGGGCTTGCTGAAGGTGGGATGAGCCCCTGTCCTTGGTGCAAAGGGCAGAGCTGAGGGGTGGGGCTGTGTGATGTAGTGACTTGGGTCCCCTGTTTGACTGTGTTAGAATCAGGAGCAGGTGTTGTATAGTGGCTCTGTGCCTGAATTTAACGTCAGATAAAGGAGAGGGCTGGAGAAGGCTTTAAGTATCTTAAGTGCAAAAAGATATTAAAAGTACAGTGAATAAATACAGGCAAACTCAGGAACTGGAGATAGGTTCTTGGCTCTAGGCTAGGCCAGGCAAAATTAGCAAGGCCCCATCTCAAAAACAAGATGACAGGGCTGGGAAGGTGGCTCAGTGGTAGAGCGCTTGCATTGCATGCTTGAGGCCCTGGGTTCGATTCCTCAGCACCACATAAGCAAAAAGA